GGACACCCTTATCCTGATTATAATGGTCAGACAGGGTTGAACCCACTCGGACATGACATTGCCTGTCTGATACAAACTGTGATATAAAGAGAGGTAAACGACCCCTTAAACCAAAATCATGTAAATCCTTTAAAATGGCTTGCTTCCAGGTGGTATCAAAGAATATCGATACTGCATGTTGTTTATGTACTATTGCATTTTTGACAAAGGATTCTTAACGTACCAAATGATCAATGGTACTACGATTTTTCCTGAAACCACATTGAATATTTGTTATAAGGTTATTGGTTTCAAGATACCATGTTAACCTATTGTTCACCATTTGTTCCATGGTTTTACAGACTCAACTCGTCAAATAGATTGGTCTATAATTAGACGGATCAGTATGATCCCGACCAGGTTTTGGAATGGGGACTACAATGGCATTACGCCACGAAGTTGCTAAATTCCCTGAAGTCCATATTATATCAAAAATATTTAGAAGTGTTTTCAAAAAAGATTCAGGTAAATACTTCAAGAGCTGATAGTGTATATTATCAGCTCCTGTTACTGTATCATGAGCTTGCTCAAGGGCAGTGTGGAGCTCATGTAATGAAAATAGTTATTTATAGTTTTCGCCATTGTCTGAGTTACAATTTATTCTCTTCTTCTCCTGTTGTTTCTGGTATTGTTGAATTTCTGGGACGTAATTTGACGAAGAAGAGTGTTTGGCGAGAGTTTCACCAAGCTTATAGGCAATGTTAGACTTACCAGTTAATAGATTGTCACCATCCTGCAGTTGGTGAACAGTAGATTTGGAACCTTTGCCCTTAATTCTTTGAATCATGTTCCACACCTTTGAAATCGGTGTACGGGAATTTATCTTGGAAACATACTTTTAAAATTTTAACTTTATCTAAATTATGGACTGTAGGATGTTGGCGAAAATATGTTTCTGCTTTCTTCCTACTTTTTTATGGCCTGTGTACATTCATTATTAAGCCATGGTTTACGAGTATGTGGAATTGCAGAGGACTTGGGCATACTTTGGCCAGCAATGTCATTGAGTATATCTGAAAACGGCTGTATAGGATCTTCGCTGTTCGGAAAAGCATCATGTTTTAAGTGATCAATACATAGTGTTTTATATAATGACCAATCAGCCCTGGCGAAGTTCCTTCTTGATATAGGTGGATCATCACCAGGGCTTATTGTTTTGAGAATGGTGGGGAAGTGATCACTCCCACATAGGTCATCATGGACCATCCATTCAAATTCATTATATAAAATGGAGTCAGCAAGTAATAGATCCAGGTAAGAATATGTTCCCGTAGCTGGATGTAGATAAGTGGATGAATCACCATTGAAAATACATAAATTATTATCAGAAATGAATTCTTCGAGGATTTTACCTTTATTATAAGTATGGACACTTCCCCAAAGCGGGTTGTGTCCTTTCAGATCACCCATGATAATACATGGTTTTGGAATCTGATCATACAGATTTTGCAGATCTTACAGTCGGATATCAGAAAGCGGTGAGATATACAACCTGCACAGCGTTAACGCAGTGTGTAAAGTGATACGAACAGCTACAGCTTGGAGATTGGTATTAAGAGGGACAGGGCTATGTATAATACCCTGCCGTACTAAAATACAAACACCTCCAGTTGCTCTATCTCGTGGAGGGAAGAAGAAATGATAATCACTGTATTGTTGAAGGTATCTGTGTTTTTAAGAAAGGTTTCTTGAAGACAAAATGCTGATGGATGCAAGTCCTGTATCAATAATTGTATTTAATTAAAGTTATTTTTAAGACATCTGCAATTCCACAGATATGGACAATTCCACAGATATGGGCAATTGAATCATGGTGCCTCAATTGGTGATCGCCCTCGTGAATGTGAGGAGGAGGTGTCCTGTGAAGATAGGGTAACCTCCATGTCTAGAGGTCCAAATGGGTTCTCAAGAGGAACCACTAAAGGTGAAGGGATGGTTGGTGTCTGTTTCTTATTCATTTGTTTTTCCTTTCGTTTTCGACAAGTAAAGTGTGTCGTTCTGTTTGTCAGACGTTTTTGATTGTGTCTCAGTCTGAGATCCAGATGATGCTGTAGTTAATGTGGAAGTCGATGGTTTCATTGAAGTTGAATTCATGATTTTTCTGATTTGACCAACAGCAGGTCAGTCTGGCATGTCATGGAGACTGCTACTACAGAGGGAGATACTGCGCAGAGTATGTAATGTTTGATCGAGTGGAGACCTCAGTTGATAGTAACCTTTTGACGTCAAGGTAGGAAATATTTTTTTCACACTTTAGTTTCATTATTTGTGACTCCTTTTGCCACACTGGGCAGGACTTACAGGAAGCACCATGTGGGCCATGACAATTTGCACACTTAAATTCTTTATCGCAATCTGTGGTTTCATGACTATCATTGCATCGATAACAGATCATTGATTCGCGACAAGAATTCGAGCCATGCCCAAATTTCTGGCATTTGAAGCATCGGAGTGTACTTGGCACATATGTTTCCACTCCGATATTGGATTGCGGAAGCGAAGTTCGTGCAAAAGTCAAGAGATAGGTGTTACTGTTTGTGAAGACGCCATCTTTTTAATTGTGAAACGTTTAACAGCTGTAATACTTTAATCTTGTTGCTCTGCTGCAATGTCCTCCACTGACATGTCGGGCAGACAACGAGTCCTGTCACGTATGATGCCTCTACACGTGTTTAATGTTCTGTGCACGGACACAGTAACATCAATATTTGCAAATGTTCGGATTGACAAAAGATTGAGCGATTGCTGTCTCCTTGCACATTCCACTAGAAGCGAGCCACTACGGAGACGGGCAACGTTTTTTACATCCCTACAAATCCCATATACAGCTTTGGAAATAGCAAAAGGATTTGAGTTTATGGGGAGATAATCCAATGCTTCTATTACCAGAAAACGAGCCCAGGAATCATCATTTGTAGACATATCTTTGATCGACAGTTTCAATTCTTCGCTTCTTTTCATTTCGATTTGAACCAGGCATTTGTTGTTTCATGATGAAAGGAAAAATGTTTCACCACCTCTGCTCCCAACCCACCACGGAGTGTCAACAAGGACAGTGTCATGTAGCACCGGATCTCAGAGATGCTGAGACCAGAGATACAGGGGTGTTATACTCCAGAGAATATTACACAAAAAGCAGTATTTGTATACCTGATTAAATGTCAGGGTGGTTCTGCCCATGGCGAGAAATAGGATACATGCTGAATTTGGAGGTCAACATCACTAGATTGGCCCATGAGCCACCGCCTCCTGGCATAGGACTCTAGGCAATTAAATATATCAATAGTTTCTACATTACAAATAGAAATGACCAAGACCAATTTAAAAGGTTAAATGTGCAAGGGCCTGACGTGAGCAGCCGATTGATAGAATCGGGCCAATTCTACCACCCGTCTAGGTGAAGTTAGGGCCGAAGTAGTGTGTTGGGCAAAAGGAACACGGTCCAAGGATCCTATTGCCCTCAACCACCAGACTCCCTTCCTCTACCGACACAGGGGCGCAACCCTCGGCAAACAGGTTGCCCAGTTCGGTCTTACGAGTGGCAGTGGGGTGCTGTGGACCAAATATGCCCCCGGGTACACACGGGGGGGGGGTCGGGGGGTTGAAGAGCTCTTAGCGTTACCCAGCACCCACCGCGAGGAGGTGGCACTTCACGGGTGCCCCCAAAGAGGAGGTAAATCAGATCAGCAGGCTTATTTAAGAGGTCTTTTGATCTTTTGACTATTTTATTTGATTATATTTTTGGGAATTACAATAATAGAGTTTGTATGTTCCCTTCATTATCATGACTTATGTTACCTCAACAGTGTCTGTGTCTTGGTTGTTTTTTCGATGTTTTTCTAAAGCGAACGAAGCATATGTTTTACGTTTCCCGTGTTTACACATCTTCTGGAAGACACATTTTATGAAACAATACTATTTCCTGTTGTATATGACCGACGTAGAAATGATTCTGTTTTCTGGTAATCTTGAAAATGTTGTAAATATAAATTTGTAACGAGCATATGTGTTTCTTAACTGGTTATATTCTTGCTGATAGTTTTGTTAATGTCAGATCTACCTCCTTCCTTGTTTTACCATTTGCCAAGGAGTCGATTACAAAAGTTGGATTGGAGCCTTATCTTGAAGGTGGTTGAATAAGAGATGACTTCTTATTGTAAATATTTTCATAAAAAACTAAACACGCAGTCAAAAGCAGGAATTTATTGATCAGAATATAATTGTGTGATGTATTGTAAAAAATAATTTCTGACGGCGTTGTTTAAGGGTGGGTCATCCGCCTCCACATGCCAACTATGGATAAGTGATATCACGAACTCTCCATGGCCTTAGGCCTTGATGATGGATAACATTTGTTTTGGTTAATTACTTATGCACTTATGCTCCACCATACACGCGGGAGTTGTGATCAAGTGTTGAGCGGATCAATAAACTGTATATGTATAAGAACGGTGAATGATCGCCTGTCCACTTTGATTTAGGAACGACTGTCAACAAATTGAGTGGTTTCTGACTTTTAGCTTTAAGTGTTATTTATATGTGGCTAGAAAGACATGTGGTTATCAAAAATATTACTTGAGAATTAGGCTAAGCTGATTTGGATGGGCTATCATCTTAACATTACAGTAACCTGTCTATATTGATTTTGGAGCATTCGAGATAAAAACGAAGAGAGATTAAATTAGCTTTGTACCTGAACGCAGTATACATTGTGGTAGAAGAATCGAAGTCAAGCATGATTACTGTTAGTAGTGATAATAGCTTCACATTAAGTCTATTTGACGCAGATTGATTTTTTGTTTAGGATTTCTTTCACATAATTATTTTTTTGAACGTGATCATCCACTAAATTGTCAATCACACTTTTATGACTATCATTAACTCTAAATGATATAAGTTTGACATGTGCAATTGTCCAACTGAGAATACCAGCTGAGCTAGCAGGGGATCAACACAGGATTTCTCGATTGTTCTATATTTCTGTCTTCATCTCGTTCTGACAATGGCACCTGAACGATGGCGGCATCACTTGGACTACCTCATCACCCTCCTCGGTGGCAGCATTGGTTCTGGGTCGCTCATCAAATTCCCATACTTATGCATGCGAAATGGCGGAGGTAAGTGCCATCTGAACAGTGAACGTTTTGTAAGAATGGAATTCTCAACTGCTGTTTCTGTTTTAAGGAAGGTCATTCTTTTAGACCATGATAACAATATCCTGTTATAGAACATGAGTGTGTGAGTTAAAATTTAAGGTCACCCCGGAAATATTTCAGCCATATAGTGACGAGAAATGTTGTACATACACAATAGCTACAAGTAATTAAATAACCAGTCATCGACGGACTGTAAAATAACTAGTTAAAAAAAGAGAGTTAAAACTAGCTAGTATTAGTTTTAAATGTAGAAAACTATGTTAGACATTGCAATGTAAAAATGGGGCTTGTTGTCGCCAACGACCGAAGGTAGATCGCCATACTCGGGACCATGGGGACTTACAGTGCCTTTGCTACCTGCATGGACCCTAGCTGGATTTACACCATCCCTTCAGCCGCTGGTGATTGTAGGCAAATTTAGCCACAAATTAAAATGACAAGTGGAAGATTAAAATTTTACTTCGAATGTTTTAGGACTTACGTATCCTCTCAGGAGGACAATGATTTTACGGTACTTCAACCTACTTTGAGGATACCGCCACTAACAATCTAAGTTGCTAATTTAACCACCAGTGATAAAATATATATCTATATACGAATTTTAAACATATCCATCAAAATGTATCAATTAGCTCAATTTCTTTAAAAATTCAATAATTAAGTTAATCCTGCTAAAAGGATGTTTAACTGTTTTTACACAGACATATTTAATCATTGTGATGGAAAAATCAATACAGTCAAGCAGGACATGTTTGACCTTGATTCCCTCATCATAAGGGATGCAAAATGGAGGATCGTCAGCTTCTAATAAATATGCATGTGTATACCTGCTGTGGCCAATGCGATATCGTCGCACGATGACCTCTTCAAATCTAGACTGACAACCCAAGTAGGTGTAACCGATAGTTCGTTTAATTTCATGTAATTTATTAATACCTACTTGGGTGTCCCACTTTTTTTGCATTAGATCACGCATATAAGATCTAATAGCAGCTTTGTAATGGAATAAGAATTGGTGTCACAGATTTGTTGAGTGCTGCCTAAGCAGCAAGATCAGCCATTGTGTTCCCAGAAATTCCAACGTGGCTTGGTAAGCAACAGAGGACGATGTCGTATTGACCAGTTGCAAGATCCTTATATAACTCAGTTATTTCGATTAAAAGTGGATGTTTACAACAAACATTTTTTACAGCCTGAAGGCAAGAAAGAGCATCTGAAAATATGATATATTGTTTATATTTAGGGTGACTATTTATATATGTAAGAGCTGTTAATATGGCGTTTGCTTCTGCTGTTAAAATTGAACTGTATTCTTTTGGACCCAATGACAGTGGCACAAGCCAATGCGCCACCATCCTTGGACTCATCTGTAAATAAGGATTTATATGTATTTACTTATTAATTGATTAAATTCTTGTTTATAGTGTAATTCATTAGTTTTTAATTTTTTAAACTTTGTCAGTGTAATTAGGTTAACTTGTGGCCTACCAATGGCCAAGGAGTAGAAGAAAGAAGACGGGAAGGAGCTATATTTTCTAGCTCAGTGCCAGCAGCAGAAAGGAAAAAATGACTCTTAGTCTCATATGCGGAACAAGAGATGACTTTTTGTTGTACTGATCCTCATAAAGAGGGCTGAAAACACAGTTAAATGCAGGGTTAGAATATAGTTTGGTAATATATTGTAAAGATACTATTATACGGCGTTGGGTAAGAGAAGGCTTATATGCCTCGACGTAGAGACTATCAACTGGAGAAGTTCTAAATGATCCAAGACAACTGACTGGCTGACTGAGTATGGGTTTACGCCGCTTTTAGCAATATTCCAGCAATATCACGGCGGGGGACACCAGAAATGGGCTTCACAAATTGTACCCATGTGGGGAATCGAACCCGGGCCTTCGGCGTGACGAGCAAATGCTTTAACCACTAGGCTACCCCACCGCCCCTGATCCAAGACAAAGTCTTAGACCTTGGTGGTGGACAGAATCAAGTAGTTTAAGGTTACTTTTGCAGGCTCCTCCATATACGACGGATCCATAGTCAAGTTTAGATCGGACCAGTGATCAATATAAGTGAAGAAGGGTAATTAGGTCCCCTCCCACTTTGAATTGTTAACGACTTTAACAAGTCGAGTGCCTTCGGGCATTTGGCTTTTAGATGTTTGATATGTGGCAGAAAGGTTAAATGCGACTCAAAGATGAGACCAAGAAATTTAGCTTCCTTGACAACCTTGATGGGTGTGCCATTTAATGATAGTTTAGGATCTTTATGGGGTTTGTATTTCCTACAGAAATGTATACAGTGGGTTTTGGATTTTGAAAATTTAAACCCGTTTTCCAGACATCATCTATGACTTTTGTTGAGACAAACTTGCAATTGTCTCTCAATAGTTCGCATATTTTTACCACAGCAAGAAATCTTAAAATCATCCACAAAAAGGGATCAAACGATGGAATCACTTAAAACCTTTGAAAGACTATTTGTTTTAATATTAAATAGAATGACAGACAAAATACTGTCTTGTGGGACACCCTGGTCCTGATTGTAATGATCAGACAGGGTAGAACCCACGCGGACTTGAAATTGCCTGTCATTTAAACAGTTGGATATAAATTGAGGCAAACGGCCTCGCAATCCAAAATCGTGTAAATCTCTTAAAATACCATGTTTCCAGGTAGTGTCATATGCTTTTTCTAAATCGAAAAGGATCGACACTGCATGTAGTTTTTGAATACTGGCATTTCTTTTACAAAGGACTCTAAACGCACTAAATGACCAATGGTACTTGTTTTTTAACTGAAACCACATTGAATATCTGTTATAAGGTTATTACTTTCCAAGTACCACACAAGTCGATTATTGATCATGCGTTCCATGGTTTTGCAAACGCAGCTAGTTAGTGAGTTCGGTCGATAATTCGAAGGATCAGTATGGTCACGTCCAGGTTTAGGGATGGGTACAGTAATAGCATCACGCCATGAAGAAGGAAACTTTCCAGATGTCCAAATATCATCAAAATATTCAAAAGGGTATCTAAACATGATGCCGGTAAATGCTTCAGAAGTTGATAATGGATGTTATCAGCTCCTGTAGCAGTATCGTGGGCCTGGTCAAGAGCAGTATGGAGCTCATGAGACGAAAATATCTCGTTGTAATCTTCCCCATTATCTGAAGTATAATTAATAGACTTTTTTATTGCTGTTTTTGATACTTTAGTAATTGAGGTACATAATTTGAGGAAGAAGATTGTGGTGCCAGTGTTTCGCCAAGTTTATTAGCAATATCGGATTTATTAGTTTATAACTGGTTTCCGTCTTTGAGATGGTGAATGCTGGATCTAGAAACCTTACCTCTGGATCATATTCCATACCTTAGAAATAGGCGTTCTGGAATTGATATTAGATACATAGTTTCGCCAAGATTGGCGTTTATTTTGTTTGAATGTACGTCGTGCTTTAGGGTTTAAAGGTCACATATACTCTAGGGGGGTACAAATACATAAATCACTAATTGGCATCGTTATAAATGAAGCCCTGTCATTTAAACTACTCATTTCGATCTTTAATTAACTTAAATCGACCTTTTTGACAGCAAAGCACAATTCTCACCCGAGAACAAAATTTCAAACAATCAGAGCGGCGCGTCCCTGTGACATCATATGAGGAATAGATATGAGGGCCGATGCAGAATTCATGTACATTTCAGGGGGTAAATTATCTTGTTTACAGGATTGTATAAACCTGAACTCGTGACAACTGCTGTGAAAAATGAAAACTATATGTTCTCACAATCTACTGTCATTTAAGTTTGTCTCCTGCTTTGCCTAGTTTCGGAGTTGCAACTTGTTTTCATAGACGATTCTGTCAAAATCGCTTGGTGTCGCTTGGCCTTATTTGTTCGAGCCAGACGCTAGTGATACCGAAAACGATGATCAGCCTCGCTCATCACGGTTACGGTTAATTTCTTCAACCTAAACAGTGCGACATTAAGAAGGTTGGATGCCCATCAGATGCAGTTATTTGAAAATATCCCCGGGAGTTCTTGTCTGATTGTAATAAAGTATAAAGCAGTGTGTGGTTTTCAGGTTTTCTAATGCCTGGATGGCATAATGACTGATCCACATTGATCCTATTTCTGTGTTTTATTACCTCGATATTTAATCATGTCATGTAAAAATATGACGTCCATTACGTATGATATTAAACATTGACATTTGATTTATTTTAATCCGTAAACTAAACAACCCTACTTTGCCATTTCTAGAAGAATGTGAAAATTTACTTAGGTAAATAGGTACATACAGTTTTAGCACACAGCAAATGCTTATATGTATTTCTTTTGCAACAATGAAGTTCTGTTCGTATTCTCAAAACAGTGTCGGCCCATAAGTTTTCACATGCAATACCGCAATTAATACTCCCTTGTATAAACCTACACATGTTATTTGTTATCATTCACTTGATGGTTAGTTAATGAATTTATAACAGGTATAATTAGTGGAAACACCACTTAGATTACCCGACAAATGTTCTCATTTGGCATTTCCTGTGTCTGGAGTAAATACTCAACATTATAAACATCGATCAAAGGATTTAACCGATAACACGCTGATTGATTAATTACTTGTATCTTGCACAGCGGGTTTGTCAAAAGGTAGTGTTTATGTATGTAGATTTACTAATCTATAATGAATACACTCTGTCGTGTCTGTGTCTGCGTAAAAACAACGTCCTTCTTTTAAAGGATTAACCGCCAATACATTGATTTGATTGCTCATTATTGGCTAACTAAATTACTTTTTTTTAAAGAATGGCGGACATTATGCAATCAGTTGCCAGGTGTCCTATCTTGGGTGACCAATGAGACTATACACCAATGTGAAATACCTGAAACGATGTATCACTTTTTCGTATATTAGACTGTTAAAAGACACATCACTTGGAACAGCTGCAGATGAATGG